ATTGATTACATAAGTATCATGTAATCATCCTCACAAAAATTGAATGTGCCATCATGTAATTATCATTAAATATTTATCATCATGATTCATCAAATTGTCCATATGATATAATGTGCCATATTATAAATATTATTATTATACTTTTTGTGGACATATATATGTAAATGTATATGTCTATGAATTATTCTACAATTCTAGCGAGGTACCACTCAGCGGTTTCGCTGAGCGTGTAGTTTGTATTTTTCGTTGACTACACGTAGGTAACAAGAAGACAATGATGGAACCTTTCCTAGAGGGCATTGAGTCAGAGGAGATGCAAGGATGGCAGGCAATGTTTGGTCAACAGATTTTAAAATGTGTCATGATTTGATTATTATTGTACTTCCGCATTACTCTGAAAATATTTTTAAATGGGTCGCGATCCAGAGTCTGTAAATTTAATATTTATCAGAAATTGTCATTTCCAAATGTCAAGTGAAATTTTTATTTAACTCTCGTTTCACCTTAATTCGTGTAATTCCGGGTTATACGGATTGGGGTGTTACAATGCACCTGCCATTTATTATTGTGTAGAAATTTAGGTGATGTACTCTTGGAACAAAGATATAATAAGAGAGGCTCAAGTACCTGAGAACTTTGAAGAAAAGTTCTTATAAAAGTGTAGCACACAAATCCTTCTTTTAGATTTAGGAAGAGTATTCCTCAGTCCTTTAATTATTTCTTGTAGGATAATACATAAACAAATATCATAGATTTAATAATAATAAAAAATAATAATAGAAGACTAACTTTGAAATTAAGATTTACCTTGTGCCTGTCAGATATTATTGTGTATGGGGATGCATCTGATGTGCAGCCAAGTGCCACAGCTAGTCCATGTAGGAAGAAAGCCACTCCGTTTCATCTTCACAATTAGCAACACCATATGCTAAGGGAAATTGACCATTGTTTCCATCTAAGGCCATAGCAGTCAAAAGCACTCCCTCATATGGACCCTTCAAATGACATGCATCAATACCAATCAAGGGTCTACAATACTTCTTAAAAGCTGTGATGGATGAACCTATACAGATTTGACACCTCTTAAAAATTGGATTTCTCCCTGGACCAATCTCCTGCCACCTAATGAAGCAATGGGAATCTGGATTCTTTTCTTTAAAAAACTCCATGTATTGTGGTAACATCTTGTATCCATCTTCATGCCTACCTTCAACTATACCCCTCATGACCCTAAGAGCCCTCCAGCAAGTATAATCAGGTATGCGTGTGCTGAACTTCTTCAAAATAATCTTCTGGGCAGTAACTACACTCATCTGTTTATTATTTCTGAAGTCTTCTAGAAGGTGAGTTACAACCCAAGTTGATCCAGCCCTGTTATGGTGCTCTTTCACTGAACAAATATGATCCTCACATATGCTTTTAATCATCCAAGAGTGGCCATCAACTAGAACAGATGCATGAATCTTAAATTTGCAGTCCTTATTCATACATACTTGAGTGTATCTTCTCTTGTCATTTTTTATTTTCCTAAGAGAAATTCCCTTTTGAATAACATAGTCCTTCATGACCCTAAGAAAATCTTCTTTGCAACTAAATATGTCACCTTGCTTTAGCTCAACTTTTCCATGAGCACTTCTCACCCAGAGCCTTCCAGTCCTAAACACCTTAGCCATTTTCTCAAGAATAGACTGACTGCCACTCCCATCTTCATTTTCTTCCTCATTACCCAGCATCAGTTTATGGGCAGTGTCAGCATCAAGATCAAACTCATCCTCCATTTCTGACTCTTCATCCAAGGAAACTGCCTCACTACTCAAACACTCCTCCTCACTCCCTGTAAAATCACAGTCTTCTTCTTCATCTTTAGATGAAGCTTTATCATCATCAATTCCCCCCTGAGAAGGGAGCACAGGTTCCTCAAAAAAGAGATCTAGGGGAGGAACATGGGGAGGAACTTGGGGGTTGCTCAAGGCAGGAATGTCATAAGCTTCTAACCCTTTTAATTCTTTAGCCAAAAGTTTGACATTCAACTCAGTCCTCTCAAGTACTTTACTACCTCCCCCCACAAGCTTCTTTTTCTTCTTTTTAGAACTGCCATCATTCTCAACCTCCTCTCTAGTCATTGTATTAGGTTCTGTACTTGTGGGTGAGAGGTGTGGAGAGGAAATAGTAATGCATGGAACCTCAGGGGGGTCTAAAACAGATGGTTGGAGCAACACTTCAAATGTCCTACTCATTTGCATTCTCACATTTAATTTAGATTTATTACCCCCATTATCTTCACTTTCAAAAGTCTGACTATAATTTGTTGGTGTCACGAGCAAATTGTCAGCCCAAAGCTCAGCATCACTACTGCTTGGGTCCTTAAAAGTTTGGGCAGTAACATGAAGTTCCTCTGCCATTTTTTGTAATGCACTAGGCTCTTCTAACTCAACTACAAATAAGGGAATGAAATTACAAGCAACTCCCCCCAAACCTCAACCATCTTAATCCAATCTCTATCAGAAGCTAGTGCCTCTTTCTGAATTTCTTTCGAAGGAGGATGATATCTAAAACCAACAAACCTAGGAAGACTTATATTCTGTTCTTTGGCTTTGGAAATGACATCCTCGAACAAATTTTTGGTGAAGTAAATATCCAAATCAATATCTTCAATCACAATGCATTTATCTTTCACATACACCTTAAATCCCGTTGGAGCCAAAAGTATATAACATCATATGCTAAGTATATAGATTTATAAACTCATGAGAATAATTATAAAACAATCAGGACTTTGATAGAACAATACAAGGTTGATAAAACAAAATCAATTTTAATAACCGAAACCCTTCATTCATGTTCAGTAGAATTAAATTGAAATTAAAAAACCCTAGATTCATATTGTTAAGTAAAATCCAAAAGAAATATGATAAACCCTAGATATTTGATAAAACCTCAGTAGAATCGATCCAAAAACGAACCATTGACACCAAGAAAGCCAATCTTGATAGGAAACCAAAAGAGGAAGCGAATCTTCCTTTCTTTCGAAGAAGAATCAGAAACGCTGGAAGTTGCCTTTCGAAGAAGAATGAGATACGCTGGAAGTTGTCTATCTTTTTTAGGTAATAACGAGGGGTATAATAGTCAAATCAGGTAGGAAACGGTGGTTTGGACGGAAATTCCCTCCTCAGTCACAAACATCATATTTTAGGTCCCTACGAGTAATTTTTTTTAAAAAATGGGACCTGCGAGTCTTTATGCCAAAATAGAGGGTACCTGACAGCAATTTTTTGTTATATTAATGATGATTCCGTGTTTCTTGAAGTCCAATTTATACCTGAATAGTAAGTCACTTTCCTTGTTTTCTTCACTGTAAAGTTAATAGACTTGAATTATTTGAATGTCTGAAAAAAAGTAAAGACTTGAAAGTCATTCATTGAATAAAATTAATTTGAAAATTTAGTGATTTTATATAATTCTATTCATGTTTTCAAGACTTGAATAGTTCAATTCCATATATATTTTGGTAGATTTCATTATACGGTGGATTAGGTAAAATTTAATGGATTCCAGACAAAATAGTACTCCGTAATTAGTGATATCATTCCAACCTAAATTCAGCTTCCAACCTTAAGATTTTCAATTTTTTTGTATTTTTTAATAACAGTACAGCTCATGATAACCAATTAGGTAACAATTTTTGAAACAGAAATTGTAGAATTACACAATCAGGTGTAACTTCGTGGCACAATCAGGTGTAACTTCGTAAAATTAACGGTTTCCAACCTTCATGACCCCCTCATAAACCCCAACCTTGACATCGTCCCTTCACAATCCCCTTATCCACATCACAATGATTTTTTTAATATACTCCCACCGTTCTTAAAAGATTGTCATAGTTTGACTTTTCGATCAAATTGTAACACTCTTTCACCGCAAATTATGGAAAACGAATATTTAGTTATAAGAAAATTTTAGTAAAATTGGGGTTATTTTAAATACTCCCTCCGTCCTATAATGATCTTCACGGTTCGTAAAACGAAGAAAAATCCCAAGTTTTTTCAATCTATTTTATTTAAATATTGGTATAGAAATATAAAAAATAAAACATACATATTTAAAAACTACACCAAAAGTTCAACAAAACAAGTGGTGACAAGAATATTTTATTTTATCATATAGGTCATGAAAAAACACAAATAAATATAAATTCCCGTGAAGTTGGAATAGTGCTCTGGGAAGATCATTATAGGACGGAGGGAGTAACAATTTTGAAATATCAAATATTTATAACATTTAATTATTTTAAACTATATTTGATTCGTGGTCAAAGGGTGCCACCGTTTGACCAAAAATATCAAACTGTGGCAATTTTTTGAGGGACGGAGAGAATATATGTATAGAATGAGGAGACGGCGTCCATATGGGTAACCAGAGTTTGGTTTTTTCAATTTATTCTTATTACTTATTCCTATAAAAAATAGATTAGACTAAATTAGATCAGATAATATCATACCAAATTAGATAATATAAGATCATACCAGATCGGATAAAAAACAACTTCAAACATAATTACAATTAGATCATATTAGGTCATACCAGATAAAACTTTATTAAAATCACCTAAGATCCAATCAGATTGGAGAAAAAAGATTAAAATAGAAGTAAAACATTGAAAACATACCAAAATACGAAGTACGAGTTTCATATTGTTATTTTAAAAATAGTAGTTAAAATGCATATACAATGTAAATCATGACCATATACGTCACTAAATTAGATTGTAAAATGTTTATATACAGTGCCACATTACAATAGTACAAACTCCTATTTTAAGACTATAAAAAAACTCATATTTTAAGGAAAAAACATGAAGCTCTATTTTAGTATATTTTCTATCATTTAAACATACTACCTCCGTCCTTGAGTATTTGTCCAATTTTAACTTTTTCCGGTCAATTGTTTTTAACCCTTGACTTATAATTAAATTATATATATATATATATATATATATATATATATATATATATATATATATATATATATATGTATATATATATATATATTGTATATTAATTAGATAAAATAATATTTTGAAAATATTTGATATAATAAATCTAATAAAACTATTTTTTTATGAATATCTAATATCGTTTTTATTTAATTTGAGGTCAAATTTTATCAATTTTGACAAAAAAAGTCAAAAGTGAAAAAATACTCAGGGACGGAAGAAGTATTTATGATTGATTTCTTATTATATTGAGACCAAGAGAGAAAGCCCTCATTCTTACTCCCTCCGTCCGGAAATATTCTTCTTTTTGGTCTGTCCGGAAATATTCTTCCCATTTCCTTTTTTAGTATACTTTTTAAGGATAAATATCAATAATACCCTTCTATTTTATCACAAATCTACTTTTTAATAATAAAAGGAGATTTAAAAATTTATAATATGTGCATTTTTTGAAAATTTTGCATTTTTTTACTATTCCTTAATAAGTGTGCCAAATCAACATGAGAAGAATATTTTCGGACGGAGGGAGTAATTTTTAGAGAGCAAAGCTGCTAGCGGCAAATGTGATGGTCCCTAGTCCCCACCCCCAACTCATTGCACATCATTCCATATTACCTTTGCTTTCCAAATACGGAGTAACTGAGTTGCCACTTTCCCTTCCCCTCTTCATATACCATATTTTGAGAAACCAAAAAAGTACAGGAGATTAAAGATCAGGCCTCACTAGCGGCAGTTTAAGAGCAACCTCTCAAAAAATGAGGGGCTCCTTGTGCGCAACACTGGTCCCAACTTTTATTGCTGGTTGAGCCATTATGATTTATCTCCTCTCACAATCCTGTTGGACAGGGGGTGAGGGACGCCCGAGGTGAAAGATTTCACCTTTTGGAACAATGAGAAACTAATTTTTCTTTCTTTTCTTTATTTAAAAATAAACATTAAAGAAACCCTTTTAAATAAATAGTTAAAACATCCATTAATTATAACCTATAATAGCTGGCAAGTTTACCAGCAAGTCATATGTATATACACTTTTGTAAAGTTGCTTTCCAGTTTTCCTCTTGACCTTACCAATACACACAGTTCTAAAAATGACATATCAAATGTGTATATATATATATAGCCCATATGAAGAATAAACAAAACACGGTGCAAATATAAATTGTTTTCCTGGACTACTACTCATCACCAATGGGTGGGAATTCATGGTTTTGCAATTGGGCATTATGGGTGTTCATCTTCATCATCTTTGTTTCTGGGTACGGAACGAGTCTTGGCGATGATTTCGTTAACGTGACGGTCCATGTGAACGGCGAACGCGCCATTGGGACAACGGACACAAATTTCATCTGTGCAACTTTGGATTGGTGGCCAAAAGATAAGTGCAATGAGAAGAAAAACTGCCCTTGGGCCAATGCCACTCTCCTAACTTTGGTATAATTTGTGAAACTGCACCTAATTATTTTCCCAAACTCTTATAATTTCTGGGTCTCTAATCATCAACTTGATGGGTTTGTTTCATATGTTGTGTGTGCAGAATCTCAAGAGTAGTGTTTTGCTAAATGCAATAAAAGGTAAGTTCAAAAAAATCCCAGTTTTTTCAATCATTTAAGTTCACAAATTGGAGGTTTGTTTTACTTTTGATGTCCTTGGTTGCAGCATTCTCTAGACTGAAAATTAGGCTGGGTGGCACTCTGCAAGATAAGGTCGTCTACCAAACCAATCGTTCTGAACCGTGCGAACCATTTCGTTTGGACGAGATGAAATTGTTTTCCTTCACTGAGGGGTGCTTACCTCTGTCTAGATGGGATGAACTGAATGAGTTCTTCATCAAATCAGGGTAATCCAAAGTATACAAATTTAACAATTTATTCCTCAGTTTTTGTTTAGATTTATCCTAACAGTAACATGTGTTTTACTTTACTTAGAGCTTTTATCACATTTGGGTTGAATGCACTCTCTGGAAGAAGGGTGAAAGCAGGCAGTGACATTGCTACTGCTGGGTCATGGAATTCAACCAATGCTAAATTTCTCATGACATATTCTCTTGACAAGTGGTATCATATCCACGGCTGGGAGTTGGGTATGAAAGACCTCTCTTTTTAATAACTACACACACATTTGTTGGGACTGCGCGTACCCTCACACCAATCCTGATCATATTGTCCGCTCTGGATTAAAGCCCTCACAGTTTTTTTTCAGACACTTTCTTAACAGATTTGTTAAGAATAAAATATGTTCTTAACAACACGTACGTTTCGATCTTTGTTAAAGGTTTTCTATCTTTTCCTTTCGTATCGTTGATCACCAGGGAACGAGTTGGTTGGACGAAGCGCGATAGGGAGACAAATTCCAGCAGATGTGTATGCTAATGACACCATCCATCTTCACAGGATAGTCAAGAACCTTTACAAGGATCCTAAAACCCGTCCAATAGTCATGGCACCAGGTGGATTCTTTGATGAAGAATGGTTCAAAAAATACCTGCAGAAAGCAAACCACTCCTTGGACGCGGCCACTCACCATATATATGATCTTGGTGCAGGTATTTTTAATAATGTTTAAGCAGGAATATACTATATATATCGGGGGACGATTACTATGACATTGTCATGACTCCAAAGTCAAAATTAAATTGTGGGGTGCAATTGAAGGGGGTGGAGGGGTGTGTTCGGATCGGGGCGGGGGGTTTACTGGGGGTTAGGGTTAGGGGGTAGGAACCGTCAATTACATATACACAATGATATCCCAATGTGTGGTGAAATGAATGAACAGGAAGTGATTTGAACCTGACAAATAGAATACTTGACCCTGGGGTTCTTGATGGAGACACGGATATATTTGAGCAATTGCGTGGCCTGGTCCATGGAACTAAAGTTCAGGCTTGGGTTGGCGAGGCTGGAGGGGCATATAACAGCGGCGGACCAAATGTGTCAAACACCTTTGTTTCTAGCTTCTGGTAATTCATGATATAATAATACCCAATTCTTAGAATATAGAATTGTTTCCTGGGCCTACAACCGGAAGACTTTTGGTTGAGTTGGTTTTCTGACACCAGTATATGTCTTGCAGGTATCTCAACCAGCTTGGGATGTCGGCCTCGTACAATACCAAAGTATACTGCAGGCAGACACTAGTAGGAGGAAACTACGGTTTACTCAACACCACCACCTTTCATCCAAATCCAGATTACTACAGGTCTTTTTAACTAGGGGAGTTGAAGGGAAAAAAAATTGTTTGTCATTTTATATTTTTCGCTCTGTTGCTCTTTATTTATTTATTACCTTGGTGCAATGACCGCAGTGCTCTTCTATGGGACCGATTGATGGGAGAGAAATCGCTCAACACAAGCTTTGAAGGGACAAAGAAACTACGGGCTTTTACCCATTGTGCAAAGAAACTTGTAAGACGAAATTAATCATTAAGACAAATTTTTATATAGAATTATTAGTAGCAACGAATTAAACAATGTCTTACATTGCTTGCCTCTTTTGAATTGCAGGGAGGGATCACCATGTTGCTGATGAACCTAGATGGCAAGCGAAACATCACGGTGAACACTTCGCGAATTCACATGACGAGTCGTAAGCCAGAGCCAAGACAAGAGTACCATTTGACCGCACCGGATGGCAATTTACACAGCCAAACAGTGCAACTAAATGGGAAAAAACTTGAAGTGAATTCGGTGTCAGGAGAAATCCCAATAATCCAGCCATTAGCTTACGCTTTGCACGAGCTAATAAATGTGGCTCCTCATTCCATTGTCTTTGCTCACATACCTTCTGCAGACCTACCAGCTTGCAAAGGCAAGCAATAGCTATGATATTTCAATTCCTCAAATTAATCCCTACATTTGGGGTGCCACGAGTTCTCTTATTACACATAAACACACACACACACACACACACATTGTTGTTTTAGACTCAATGAGCTAGCATTGTAATTCTTTTTTTTCCTTTTCATTCTTTTTAAGTAATTCAATTATACATTGAAGCATTGCAGAACTTGTTATATATATGTCGCATTAACACTTCATATGTATTTGATTCCAACCTCAGTTCTGAGAGCAAGTACTCTTTAGATTTTATTTCAAATGTCAGCTGAGTTGTTTTGTAAAATTCTAAATAAGTTGATTAAATTTGTTCTAAAACACTTGAGAAGTTAACTAATAAGGCTAGAGGCATTTGATAAAGCGCAGAAGCTAAAGATTTAAAAAGTCAGAAACCTAAGTGACAAAAACAACACTCTTACACCCTTGAGAGAAAGAGAGGGAGGTGAATAAGTTTATTTGACCTTGGGATAAAGGTGAATATGAGTGGAGTGTTTCTCACCGATGGGAGACCATTGAAAAAAATCACATATAAAATTGAAGAAGTAGAACATGTAATAATCAAATTGTACAATCATATCCATTTTCACTAACTATTACTCCGTATGTCGAATCAGATCAACATCAATTCTTATCCAATTCAAATCAAATTGTATTCAGATTAATTCGATTCTCATTTTCATTCAATCTACACACTCAAAGGTCATTCGGTTCATTGTTTTGGAAAATCATTTCTTGGCAATTGTCATTGCTTTTTTACAATTTCTTCAATTGCCCGCTTGTAGTACGCCATTTTCTGGATAGACGAAAGAGCTTCTTCTGCATTTCTATTCTCAAAAGCAAGAGCAAAAGCTCTTGCCCGCTCTTCGTACTTTTCTTGTACCTGCAAATAAATGCCATTTTAGCTCTTTTTAACCAAAATAACTGTTGTTTAAGAGATAAAATGTTTTTTTTCTAACCTTTAAAATTTTCTCATACTCCGTGCTTACTGACTCTTCCGACTTTAGATTTTTTTTTTGTTTCTTGAAAAAGAAAAATGCATATACATTCAAGAAGGATAGAAGAGTCATTCCGTATGGTTCCTTTACATGTGTCTATTTTGCTAAAAGTCATAGTAAGGATGATCATGTATATATATGAAAAGGCTGCAATACAATGAGAATGCAGCAAAAAATGGCAATGTTTCGGTGAACTTATCAAAGAATTTATAATGCCTCTATGTTTTTATCAAAGTGAGGTTCTTTTGACACCCTTCATTAGTGTCATAATATGACACCCGGGCCATTTAGAGGTCCATACTGTCCTCCATTTGACCCCGGGCCACAGGTTCACCTTTATGTTCTAGTAAGTCCTAGGGTTAGGGGCGGGCAGAGGTTTGTGGGGGGGGGGGGGTAGGACCCACTTTGGATCAAATGGACCTCAATATGGCCCTCACATTCTAACACCGACCCTTGGTGTCAAGATTTTAAAGTCCGAACTCCTATACGATTTTTGGCAAGACAAAAAGAAGAAATTGGGAGAATGTTATGAGCTCTTCACATTCATGCAACAACAACAAAAAAACCAAGTAAAATCCCACAAAAAGTAGTGTCGTGAGGGCGTGTGTACGCAGACCTTACCCCTACTTAGGGGAAGGGGTTGTTTCAAAGAGTCCCCCGGCTTTTCATATTCGTACCTGTTCCTTAATATGTTTCAACGCTTGTGGGTCAGCTGATTCTTCAATAGTTTCCCTAATCTCCATAATCTGCAGTTCAAAGAGGTCAAAAAATTGATTAAAAAAACCATGTCTAGTAAAAAAACTACCTCCGCAAGTAACTCTGGATCCAAAATACGCTCTTCTTCATCTACAAACCAACCTTCCAGCTTCACCTTACCCAGAAAAAAAAATACCCCAATAAATAATTGCTAGAAATAAAGAGAAAAAAAGAAAGAAAATTGTAGTATGAAATTGACCATTGTTAGGAAGAATAAAAGTGATGGATCCCCAATATTTTCCCTGGGACTGTAGATCGGCCCAGGTCCAAATATTGATATCCGGGCCTTACAACAGTGAGAAATAATACGAGAATAGTAATGGAAAGTGTGGCTCACAAGATAGGAACTCAAGCCGGTGATCCCTTCCTCTATTCGGTCTACTTAGGGATCGGAATATACTCAAGGATCGCCGGAGTATCTTTTATTATTACTCAAGTATTTTCTCTCTCTATTACAAGATGATCCCTCCTCTCTTAGTCCATCCTTCTTTTATAGGCGCTCCCCAGCCACCGTCTCATCAAAATATTCGCAGTGGTTGGGGAGGATATTCATGTCATCCTTGCTTTTCCCGGAGGGATGTATCTTAGCTTGAAGCCGTCCTTTGGAGGACAAACCTGTCCGTCNCACAAGATAGGAACTCAAGCCGGTGATCCCTTCCTCTATTCGGTCTACTTAGGGATCGGAATATACTCAAGGATCGCCGGAGTATCTTTTATTATTACTCAAGTATTTTCTCTCTCTATTACAAGATGATCCCTCCTCTCTTAGTCCATCCTTCTTTTATAGGCGCTCCCCAGCCACCGTCTCATCAAAATATTCGCAGTGGTTGGGGAGGATATTCATGTCATCCTTGCTTTTCCCGGAGGGATGTATCTTAGCTTGAAGCCGTCCTTTGGAGGACAAACCTGTCCGTCCATCTCTTATTCTATGTCCTTCGTCCGTCCCTTACTCCTTGTCTTTGTCCCTCTTGTTCAGGGGGGGCGGCTTACCCTAATTCCTCTATAGGATTCCTTCCTTTTGGGTGGCTTGTTCATAATGGACTGGGTTCAGCCCATCCTTAAGCCCCAATCCTGTTCCTTTCCCTATCTTTCCTTTCCCTAACCGGCTTACACTGGGCCGGATTCTCCTTTTGATGGACGGGATCTAGATTGGGCCTAGGCCCAATTTGTTGGTATTCTCTCGATGGGCTTGGTTCCCATCACATGCTCCTTTTTTTATAAGTCAAAAAATAAAAAATTTTCTTGACTGTAATACACCTTGCATCTTCAGATTGGAAAGTTTTTCTTCTCCTCCCACGAAAGATACCTTTAATGGAAAGAACCATTTGCGAAAATTTATCCTGTACTTACTTCTGAGTATGTTTCCCCTGATGCATCCTTCGCGGGCCACATGTGAATGATTTGTGTGAGTGGGATGCATGTGGCCGCATCCTTCCTTTGGACCGCAGCGCCAAGGGGCCCACGAGGTGGCGTACGAACGGTCATTGGATCGTTCTGAATTCTACACTATTCAACACTTTTATCCCACTTTATGATGGTGGGACCGTGGCAGGGTAGAAGAGTTCAGCAGTGGACCGCAAGCCTGGAAAGGTGACACTTGGGAGTGGACCGTTTGGAGTCCGTGCCCACTTAAATGTCCCTGGCCCAATTCCCAAGGGTTGTAACATTCCACGAAGGGATTCCTTGGAGTCCTTTCCCTTCCTTAATTGTAGGTGGACGTTTCCTTCTCCTTCTATAAAATCGGTCCATTCCTTTCTTCTTATTCTCACGCTCTCATAACCATACGTAGCTTTTTGCCTTCATATCTATTTTCGGCCTTCTTCCTCTCCTTTCATCCTTGTCTCTAAAAATGAAGTAAACTCTCTCTAAGGCTGTCAAGCTCTTCAATGGCAACAAGAAGGCGAAGGAGGACGAAAATGTTTCCTCCATCACCCCCGCACAACTGAGGGAGATGAGGGGAATGATCCTTCTTGACTACCAAGTCCAAAGCCGAGAGAACTACTTTGGAGCGCAACCAGAACACTCCCCGACGGTTGATCGTCCACTATGACTCGGTCAAGATGGGGTGGTGTTTCCCCCTCCATCCTCTCTTGGTGGAAATTTGTAACCGGTATGCCATCCCTCCCGGCCAAATTTCCTCCAATTCTCACGAGTCCCTTTTCTGCTTCCTCGCTCGATACCACAAGAAGGGCATCCAGCCTACTTTGGAGCTTTTCCTCTCCTTCTTTCGCCCCCACAAGGGGGGTTCGTGAGTTTCACGGCCCGGACCGACATGCAGTTCCTGGAAAACCCGGTCGATAAGTTCGATGATTGGTTCCGCCGCTTCTTTGTGGTGATAGCCCCGGAGGACCTCCCTTTTCCCAACGTATGGAGAAAGAAGGAGGATAAGTTTTGATAACTCGGGTTTGGGTTAATATTTTTTATTCTTTTTTCGGTATTTTTAGTATTTTTATTGTTTAATTTTCATTTGTTTAGCTTAGTTTTATTTTAATTCCTATTTTTACAAACCTTTTATTTCCATTCAAAAATAGTAGTTTTTTAATCATTTTTTTTACATTTTATTATTTTCTTCATTTTATTATTTTCCCTAACCCAAAATTATTAGATATCTTATTTTTTGGAGAAAAATGTAGCAAAAAGGCCAAAGTGCAGTTCAAGTTTGAAAAGAAGAGATCGAATTTGGGCCGGAGCCCAAACCCAACACAAAAGAAGACCAACTCAGCATTCACTCCCCCAATTTGATTTCACGTCCAGCAAGAAAGGAAATAGAGATCCAGTAGCAGCTTCTTCTTCATTAACGCAGCTGCGAAGTAACCGGCGACCAATTCCTCCAACATCTCTCCGCCAAGTTCGCCCAAGCGCTCCAACGGGAAAAAATCTTTCGGCTATAAATTGCGCCTTCGCTAACCAAGGGAGGGGGACAACAGGGGGAGGGCATCGCACCAAACAAGAAAGAGAGCAGCGGCTTTGGCCGCTGCAATTGACGCCACCGGAGAAGGAAGCAGACGGCGGCCGACCACGGCTCGCCGGCGTTCGACGATGGTCGGCGGTGATAGGTCAGGCGGTCCCTTCAAGCTCCAATTCTTCAATTACTTCTTCTTCAACAATTAGTAACCCTATATTTGTCAAATTCTTTTCTTCTCCAATTTCTTTGTAAAAGTGTTGTTTCAATTCAAATTCACTTTTTTTCCCCTTGTTAGTGTTAATTTCAAAAATTCCAAAATGGTTGGTGTTCTTTTATGGGTTTTTTATGTTATATTAAATCCCTTATGAATGAAAATTGATTCTTACTAGTTTCTTCAATTTTTGCGCAAAATGATGTTAAATCGGTTGAATTATAAATTTGATTTCATAAGTAGGTTGGTATGTCGACTTCGGTTATCATTGAAGCTAATTTAGCTACATATTTTAGTTAAATGATTCTCGAATTCATATGTGAATCTCTTTTGTGACTTTTGTTTTGTAAAATTTTAAGGTAAATGATCTTCTTAGCCACATAAGTCGAACGTTTTCCTTAAGATTCGTTATAAAGTGATTGTTTATGTCTTGGTGTTCTTGTTTGTTATTTTCATAAAAATTGGGATTGTTTAAGCGCAATAAACAACTCTTGATTTAATGAAAATATGTAATGTTGTTCTTTATGTGAATAGATTACAATTCTTATGCTTGAGTAGTTCAAGGAGACCTGCAAAATATTTTCATCATTAGACGTTAAAGTTTATTAAAGTGTATCAAATGTTCTTCATGAATACTTTGTGCATGGGAGTTAGAATGAAAGAAAGATTCGCTCTTTTATAAACTTTTTCATCTTTTGGAATCATTGTTTGAGTGCTTGAGGTGAGTGGGGGTTCAAAGTAACCAAAAGGCCTTTGAATCTTTGACTCCGGGCCTTATAGAGAGTTGACGATCCTCTATATGTGGTCAAGGATATGAATCAACTCGAGCCTTTGAATTCTTTTCTATTTTTAAGTGCGTAAGTTACGTAATATATTGTCTACATGCCTATCATACGTGTAATGTTCAATTTGTGTTTGTTCTCTTTTTCATTTTGTTTTGGGTTCTTGGCGGTGTTTCTTAGGCTACCTTAGTTGGAGAAGTTGATTATCTTTTGAGCTTGTTTTCTCCCATTTTATCAAAAAAACCAAAAAAATAAGAAAAATATAAAAAACCAAAAAATATTTACTTTTCATCCACCCCCCCCCCTTTGTGTTTTAAGTTATAAATATAAGTTTTTATACTTTTTTTAGTATATCTTAAGTATATGTTTTATGTTTATAAGTTATATTATAAGTTCTTTGTTTATATAATTTATATTTATATGTTTTTAACTTTTATATTTATTTAGTTATAAGTTTTATTATAAATTTTATAAGTGTTATCATATGTGTAGTAGTTAGTTTGTTTTGTTTAGTGACAACGTGTTCACATGCTAAATGATTTCAAAAGTACAATCTTTCTCCGTGGGATCGACCCTTACTTGCCCTAACTATAGTTTTTATTGAATTATATTTTGGGGGTTAGTTAAGGATATTTTATAAATTTTTAATTTGTTTTGGACCACACGACAAGTCCCCAACAAGTTTCCTTCCCACACCTTTCCATCTCGCACCTCGGACCTCGAGGAGGTTTTCCGCCTCCTCCTTAAGAACGGTACCCGGTTCCCCGCACTCTCCTCTCCAAGGATTCGTACTTCCGGGGTCTCGGATTTTGGGTGTCTCCCGATGTTCCCCTTCAAGCACTATCGGGGAACACTACATCTTCTTGGGTTCCTCCCCCAGGACCACGCGATTTCGAAAGGAATCGCGACGATCCTCTCGAAGGGATCTTTCTCCGGGAGAGGACAATGAGGACGAAGAGGTAGGGTCCGCAGTCGGGGGTCAACCTCTGCCTCTTGCCAACCACCCTTTCGTCCAGGAGGAGGTGGTAGTCGAGGACATCTCTGATGATGGTGGTCTCTACGATTTCCCTCCAAGGACCTTGAGGGGGTCCAATCTTATCCATGACGTTCCTCACACCCCTCTCTTCGGTAGGGGGCTTCTTCTTCTGCCCAACCCACGGGTTCACTAGGTTTCCATCCTCAAACTAGTGGGACCCATCTAATTGGCCGAGCCACTGGTTCGCAAGGATCTCTTGAGCCGCCTAATGTCTAGGTAGACGGATATGGGATCCAATACAGCCCGGAGTCTCCCTGGGAATATTCCCCCTCCTCTAGCTGTGGAGGGGATGACGCTACTTCTCAACTCCATCCGCCCACTGCCCAAAAATTTGCAGAATCGGCAGTGGAGAGCATCTTTGGAAAGCCCCTTGGCCAGGGCGCTCCTCTCCCTGGAGCGGACATCCAGGGAGGCAGAGGAGTTAATTCGGTCCTCTAGCTTCCGATAGGCCACTGTTCAACCGTTGGTCCACCCTACTGCTGATCCCGGTCCATCAACCCATGAGACTGGGTCTTCATCTTCCCAGGCCCGTCATAAGCGAGGTTCTGAATAAGGCTCGAAGTGTTCCCCAAGAAGAAGTAGTGTTCCCCGATAGTGCTTGAAGTGGAACATCGGGAGACACCCAAAATCCGAGACCCCGGAAGTACTAATCTTTGGAGAGGAGAGCGCGGGGAACCGGGTACCGTTCTTAAGGAGGAGGTGAAAAACCTCCTCGAGGTCCGAGGTGCGAGAAGGAAAGGTGTGGGAAGGAAACTTATCCTCCTTTCTCCATACGTTGAGAAGAGGGAGGTCCTCCGGGGCTATCACCACAAAGAAGCGGCGGAACCAATCATCGAGCTTATCGACCGGGCTTTCCAGGAACTGCATGTCGGTCCGGGCCGTGAAACTCACGAACCCCCTGCCCGACTCACTATCATACTTGTGGGGGCGAAAGAAGGAGAGGAAGAGCCCCAAAGTAGGCTGGATGCCCTTCTTGTGGCATCGAGCGAGGAAGCAGAAAAGGGACTCGTGAGAATTGGAGGAAATTTGGCCGGGAGGGATGGCATACCGGTTACAAATTTCCACCCAGAGAGGATGGAGGGGGAAACGCCACCCCATCTTGACCGAGTCATAGTGGACGATCAACCGGCGGGGAGTGTTCTGGTTGCGCTCCAAAGTAAATCCCTCGGCTTCCTGGACTTGGTAGTCGAGAAGGATCATTCCCCTCATCTCCCTCAGTTGTGCGGGGGTGATGGAGGAAACATTTTCGTCCTCCTTCAGCTTCTTGTTGCCATTGAAGAGCTTGACAGCCTTAAAGAGAGTTTTCTTCATTTTTAGAGACAAGGATGAAAGGAGAGGAAGAAGGCCGAAAACAGATATGAAGGCAAAAAGCTACGTATGATTATGAGAGCGTGAGAATAAGAAGAAGGGAATGGACCGATTTTATAGAAGGGGAAGGAAACGGTCCACCTACAATTAAGGAAGGGAAAGGACTCCAAAGAATCCCTTCGTGGAACGTTACAACCCTTGGGAATTGGGCCAGGGACATTTAAGTGGGCACGGACTCCAAACGGTCCACTCCCAAGTGTCACCTTTCCAGGCTTGCGGTCCCTGCCACGGTCCCACCATCATAAAGTGGGATAAAAAAAATAGTGCAGAATTCAGAACGGTCCAATGATCGTTCGTCTGGTGGGCCCCTTGGCGCTGTGGTCCAAAGGAAGGATGCGGCCACATGCACCCCACTCACACAAATCATTCACATGTGGCCCGCGAAGGATGCATCAGGGGAAACATACTCAGAAGTAAGTACATGATAAATTTTCGCAAAAGGTTCTTCCCAATGAAAGGTATCTTTCGTGGGAGGAGAAGAAAAGCTTTCCAATCTGAAGATGCAAGGTGTATTACAGTCAAAAACAATTTTTATTTTTTGACTTGTAAAAAAAGGGGCATGTGATGGGAACCAAGCCCATCGAGAGAATACCAGCAAATTGGGCCTAGGCCCAATCTAGATCCCGTCCATCAAAAGTAGAATCCGGCCCAGAGAAAATACACTGGGCCGGTTAAGGGAAGTTGTCCGTGAGGAAAGATAGGGAAAGGAACAGGATTGGGGCTTAAGGATGGGCTGAACCCCAGCCCATTATGAACAAGCCACCCAAAAGGAAGGAATCCTATAGAGGAATTAGGGTAAGCCGCCCCCCTGAACAAGAGGGACAAAGACAAGAAGTAAGGGACGGACGAAGGACATAGAATAAGAGATGGACGGACAGGTTTGTCCTCCAAAGGACGGCTTCAAGCTGAGATACATCCCTCCGGGAAAAGCAAGGATGACATGAATATCCTCCCCAACCACTGCGAATATTTTGATGAGACGGTGGCTGGGGAGCGCCTATAAAAGAAGGATGGACTAAGAGAGGAGGGATCATCTTGTAATAGAGAGAGAAAATACTTGAGTAATAATAAAAGATACTCCGGCGATCCTTGAGTATATTCCGATCCCTAAGTGGACCGAATAGAGGAAGGGATCACCGGCTTGNTCCTCCAAAGGACGGCTTCAAGCTGAGATACATCCCTCCGGGAAAAGCAAGGATGACATGAATATCCTCCCCAACCACTGCGAATATTTTGATGAGACGGTGGCTGGGGAGCGCCTATAAAAGAAGGATGGACTAAGAGAGGAGGGATCATCTTGTAATAGAGAGAGAAAATACTTGAGTAATAATAAAAGATACTCCGGCGATCCTTGAGTATATTCCGATCCCTAAGTGGACCGAATAGAGGAAGGGATCACCGGCTTGAGTTCCTATCTTGTGAGCCACACCTTCTATTACTATTCTCGTATTATTTCTCACTGTTGTAAGGCCCGGATATCAATATTTGGACCTGGGCCGATCTACAGTCCCAGGGAAAATATTGGGGATCCATCATTATGAAACTCATTCAATTAGAATAGTGAAAGAACATAGTAAAAAAAGAAACCTACAAGATATTTTGCTCTTGACAATGAGTTTGATAGTGTGCGATACGCATCAATTACACGCGCAGACTGTTCAGCAGCAAACTCCTTTTCTTTCTAACACAATGCCAAATTAACATTACCAACCGCTCAATTGAAGGAAAGAAAACATCAGAACCAACAAAAATAACTGATCCACAAAAAGTCAAACCATCAAACTAAATGTCGTTTTATACTTCCATTTGTCCCAAAAAATATTTTAAGAGAACTTTTTAAGGCGGAAATGATAACTAATTCCGGGGAGAGGGTATGTTTGTGCGCACCTCAGATTTTGTATGAACCAAGTCGGGATGGAGCTTCCTCTGCCAGTCTTTGTACTTGTGCTCAAGATTCTTGCATTCTATATCATATTTTTTCTCCCTGCAACATACAAGTGATAGCATTTAGTACATACTAACTAAGAAGAAATTAAAAATCTGCCATTAGAAACTAACTTGAATTAATGGCCAACTAAAACATGATCATTTTCAAAGTTAACCTAATAGGAGTAAATAAATATTGGAGGTAAGAATTTGTTTGGATACCATCACATAGAAACGCTGTGATATTAATGAAATTCCAAAGCAATATCTTTTCTAGTCATTTCTTTATAATAATTTCAAATATGCAAAAAAGAAACCACGGGATATTAATATAAAAGAAAATCTAATTGGAAGACTCACAATCCAAAAACTTGAAAATAATCAATGGTTTCATCAACATGTTGAATGCTAGCACAAATTTCACAAACAAGAAACGGGTGGGTTTTTGAAGCCTCAGAATTACAGTTCCAACACTTCAGCTTCTTGGCAGATACAGTACAAAAATATTTTGCACTCTGTGAACATATATTTCCTCCTGGAAAATGAAGCCTTTGGCACAGAAATAATCTAGAAGGAGAGGCTTCTTTAATATGGGTTGGAGAAGGTGATGATGATGATGAAATTGAAATTTGAGAGTAGAAATTAAATGGGATTCTAGATAACACTGGAGAAAGGATTGGGTATTGGTAAAAGAGGGTTCTTGATAATGCGGTAAAACTCATGAACTTTTTCGTCCACATCATTTCTGGGAAGAAGAAAATATATCTTCATGTGTAAGCTCCCGTCAGAATCTCAGATACATAAAAAGATTGATCTACTCGGTCCAGTCATGCAACTGAGTAGCTTACCTGAAAGCAAAATGTATAAAGAAAGAAGATATAGTTTGACATGCAAATAGTGAATGAAAACTTTATTTTGTGAAGGAAGGAGTAATATTTAAGTGGAACCCCTTTCATGCATATTCCGTTTCATCTGAAGAGTAAATAATATGAAAAAAAGAGTATGGCATTTGGTAGTTTGGTTCACTTCATGGTATTAGTTTGGAACAAGGAGAAATAGGGGGATTGCTGAATCTAGCTCCCAATACACAGTGTGATTCCGTTCTTCAATAAAACTATTTCTCATTCCCACTATTTGGTTCAATATATATAGAACATATATGTATGGAATCTGGAACAAAATGCACAGAAGACTGAACCTCACACACTGCCCAACCGTAATGCTGATTCTGTACCTAAGACCATCTCTTTATTCTCAATAAGAATCCAACAACAGCAGTTTATTAAACATGTTTGCCAGCAATAACACATAGTTAAGATTCAAGAAGTATTGAAATAATGATGTATTCAACATGCTTAACCTATCACATGAATTAATAGATTATTAAATAAAAAGATAACATTTGGTGTCAGCCTGCAATTCAACAACATTAGCCAATGCCTCAGAGGTTCCCTCCCATTACGAGGTAAGAGGGGGTCAGGTGTAGGCAGCCTTGTAGTACTTACAAATGATCGAGTTCAATAAAAATTACCTCAACAATGATAATCCCAATTCGTGTAGAAGCACCTGTTCTGGTAATTATAAAAATGAAATATCATTTTCAAAGCTTAAACATAATGCATATTAGGATTGAAAAACTTCACACTACTATAACTAGAAGCAAAGCCAAAGATAGTGTCAACTCCATCTCCCCTTACCGCAGGTATAAATAGAAAGGATAGAATTTGAAAAATGTAACACACTGAGCTAGGTAATAGAAAATTTGTAATTGAGTAAAAACTAAATGTGTTCTTAAATAATTAGGAGTAAAATTTTACAGTAATAATTTATAAATAATTAGCTATTATTTGGAAACCTATTACCTCTCTGGCAAATGGAAATCGCTGAAGAATCCAAAAACAACCTACCCGAAATTAAGCGAAGGTTTTGTTGATTATTACTCAAACCTGAAATGGAATGCACAAACAATCGCAAGAAATAATGACGCAAATTGGGACGGCCAGTTGTCGCGAAGAAAGCACTAATTTTTTCCAGGGGAGTTTTATTACTCCGTAACATTTATTGATAAAATAGAAAATGGTATACAGGCATAACGGCAGAAATTTGGAAAATGGGAAGGATAAAAGAGAAGATATTAGGGATCTGGAAATACCCAAATCAGAAACGTATTGGTTGCCACTCGTCGGAATAGGACTGCAGCGGTGGTGGTAACTTGGATGGCTAGCGGCGAGCCTGCGACTTGGAGTTTTGGTTGGAAGTTTGGAACTTGGAACCAGCGCTGCAAATACCTTTGAAACTATGGTGTTCAAAATTTCTCTAAAAATGCTAGCGGTACCTATTTGTCCCAGCCCCCTCCATACCCAAATACCCCTCCATAACCATATAATTGGATAAGAAAATCAAAAATAAATAAATAAATAAAAATCAAATAAAAATGAGTAGTGGAGAAGGGAGTGGTGTGCATTCAATAAAAAAATTGTATTCAATTAAAAATTTAATTAAAAAAATACATTCAATAAAAAACATTTAATTAAAAAAATTACATTAACTTAAAAACTAAAGCAAATCTACATCACGTACTCGTTTGGCTCGAGATCGGATGAAGGAATGGAAGAACCCAATTCAAGGGATTCATTATATAAAAATGAAAAAGATTTGAAGAAAATTTTTTTAAGTTGAAGAAGAGAGATTTTGTTTGTGATTTTTTGGGTTAAAAATGAGTTACTCCCTCCGTCCTAAATTATAATATTTGTTCACTATTTACAGGTCAAACTTCATTCACTTTCTTTCTCTATTTTCGTTAGTAATTTGATAAAATAAAGTACTATTGTCACTACTAGTTTTGAAAATCTTTTGATGTAATATTTTAATATGTAATTATTATTTTTTAACTCTATACCCTTTGTCATATAAAATGATTTGAAAATAATTTCAGTCAAACAAAGTAAATCGAAACAAGCACTATAAATTGGGACAGAGAGAGTAATTTATAGATTGAATATTTTTTTATAATTGTAATGGGTTTACCGTCTTTGGAAAGGGAGTCTCACTGCAAAAAAAAAAAAATACACGTTAAACGTTTGACGCACTAAGAATAATGTCGGGATGAAGCCCTAGGGGGCGGTGTTTAAGACCCCCGAGCATTAAAAAAGAGCTTAACGCGGGTGGGCGTTGCGCCCATTTCCTTTGCTATTAGGGTATGTTTGGTTGAAGGTAGGATAAGTTGTAATAGATATGTAATGCCGTAATGGTATGTAACTGAAGGTAGGTGGAGTAAAGTAATGAATTGAAAAACTGTGTTTGGATATTTATTAGGTAATGTGAGGTAGGTAGAATAACAAATTTACTTAAATACCCTTGTTTTTTTATTCAAAAAAACAAAAAGTTTGCCAAAAATAAAACAAAAAAGGGGAAACCGCAAAAAAAAACCCAAAAAAACTGAAGAACAAAATAGAAAAAAATAGAAAAAAAATGGATATTTCAAGACTTGTTTCATAGACTGCGGCGGATCTTCTTCAATTCCGGGGTTCTCCGGCGAGGGTACGGGCACGGACTCCTCACAATTGTCTCCTGTCGTCTCCACGAGCAATTTAAACTCACCAATCGCCCCAATTGGTGCTGGTTTGTGTGAAGATAGGTGGTAACCTGCCAGTTGTGCACAAGAGTTATCTGCTAGCTGTTCCATAACTACTTTCTGTTTTCTGTATTCTCTGTTGCAAATTGCAATGTACTCTTTCCGTCCCACTATTTTTAACTACTTTCATTTTTGCACATCATTCAATACACTTCTTTAATCCATTTTATCTTGTAATTTGTATATTAAAAAATTATAGAAATTATATATTAATAATCTATATGTTAAGACAAATCAAACAAGACTATGCATGACTATATTTAGGCTTACACATTGAGAGAATTTGATGAGTCAAAGTGCTTAGATGAACAGTTCCAAAAGTCAAAAGTGGACGAATATAGCGGGACGAAGGTAGTATATGTGTGTGTGTAAAAAAGAGTTACATAGTTGTGGTGATGACACGTGTCATACCACACGTACATACTACTGACATGTGTCATGCCGCGCGTAAATTACAAGACACATGTCACTCCACACATGCATATTTAATTTTGTGTTAGATCATTATTTTTATTATATTTTATAAATCTTTTACTTTCCAACAATAAAAAACCCTTATGTTTATTCATTTTATAAAATTTTCACTTTCTAATTATTTTAGAAATATTTTTTTTTGTTTATATTTTTTTAAATATGCACGACTATTTTATAATATTGAAAAAATTATAAAAAATTAATTAATTCAAAAACAATGTTTCTTATAATTTTTAAAATTATCCATCATCTCAAAAGAAACTATTATATACAAATTTTATTACACATGCATCTTTATTAAGTTCATAACATATTTCAATCTTTTGTCTTATTATATTATTTATTTTATTACATATTTTTAGGAAACTAAACAAAGTGAAAGTTTAATTGAAGGATTACATGTGACACATGACAGATATGGATTCTCTAATGATGTGTCATTACTTAATTGATTTATTTGACATTTTTATTTTTATTTTTATTAGTTAAAACGATTCTCATTATTTTTTATTTGATGACCACTATATTTGTATAAAAGTTTAAAACAATTAGAAATTATTTACTAAAGACATCATATATCATTAATAAAGAATTTAAAATAAATGATATTTTATTTTTAAATTTCAAAATTTAAAATATATGCAATTTCGTGCGAAACCCGGAGTTAATACTAGTCCGTTCACATTGGTAAAAATAAAGAGGCGAAACGCGGCAACCAGCAGCAATATAATGCCCTGTTCATGATTTACCAATAAAGCTTTTCCACCAATAAGTCACCAGACATTGACAAATGGAGCACCTTATAAGATGCCAAGGCCCAACGATCACCATATTATATCAATAGTCAAATTTAAACTATTGGATGAGTGAACAAACATTATCTAAATTAGCTCAACTGCCCAATTACGAAATTGACAATTCATTGGTGGCTTTACAAATTAAGAGAAAGAATGTGAGAAACAATTGGACATGTTAGAAGGGAAATTGACGTAAAACATACTCCCTACCTAGTTTTTGTCCTCTTTTGACTTTTGGAATTGTTCATCTAAGCATTTTGACTCATCAAATTCTCTCAATGTGTAAGCCTAAATATAGTCATGTGTGATCTTGTTTGATTTGTCTTAACATATAGATTATTAATATATAATTTCTATCATTTTTTTAATATACAAATTACAAGATAAAATGGATTAAAGAAGTGCATTGAATGGTGTGTAAAAATGAAAGTGGACAAATACTCTGGACGGAGGGAGTAAAAAAGACTAGTCGTCGAATAGTTCTCAAAGAAGACCACAAATATAATACTTTCAGATGTGAATTATATGTTAAAACTCTCTATAATAAAGGGCATTTTCAGGAACTTAATATTTTTTGGAGGAGATTAGAAAAATTATTTAAAAAATCATCCTAAATTAGAATTAAACATAAAGAAAATATCAAAATAGAAGCTCCATTATTTAACTCAAAAATAGGAATTTGCACTATAATAATGTGACACTATATATGCATATTTCACTATACTTTTTGGTATTTTACATTGACATTATTGACATTGTATCTGCATTTTAACTCATATTCTACTCTCTCCGTCTTGGAGTATTTACCCAATTTTGATTTTTTTGGTCAAAATTTGCAAACTTTGACCCAAATAAAATAACAATGATATTGGATATTGATAAAAAATAGCTTTTTTAGAATCATTATATAAAATATTTTCAAAATATTATGATATCTAATTAATATACAATATTTATTTCAATTTTATTACAGGTCAAAGGTTGAAAATAGTTGACTGAAAAAAATCAAAACTGGACAAAAACTTTCAGACAGAGATAGTAGTATATTTTTAGTATTTTACTACTACTTGAATCCTTTTTCCCATTACTTATTTCTGATATATTCAAATTTTTTTGTTTCATTGAGCCTTTGAATATTAGTAGTTTTAATGGTTTAATACTCACTCCCTCCTAAAACATTTTATGCTCTAAGGCAGTGGGTATACCCATAATGCCGTTCGGCGTTACGCTGGTTTTCACGCCTGACCAGCGTTAAACACCGCCCCCATGCGGCGTGTTTCGGGCGTCATTCGAGACGCGTCATTCGTTTGACGCGATTCCCCTCCCCCCTAACAGCTAATTTAGCCGTTGAAACCAAAAAAAGAAAAATTAAATAATTTTTTTATAAATCTCAAACTCCCCTCCTCCCATTCTCACACCTTCAATCTTCAATCTTCTTCAATCTTCTTCACATTATTCAATTCTCCAATTCTCCAACTCTCTTTTGAACATGAATCCTTCCGGCTCCGGCTTCTTTCTCGAAAATCTCGAGCCTCACGAGTCCGCGATGTGGTATTTCCAAAAATTCGGGAATCATCCGCCGATGTTCGAGACGTAACAATCGGGGTACGTCGAGCGAGATCCGGTTCCGGAGACTCAACCGGAACCATCCGGCTCCAAAAAAAGTACACGCTGAAAAAGCCACAAAGCAAAAGGCACGATGGCCGAGGCTTGGGTTGACGACTCCAAGCATCCTATCATTGGTAAAAATTATATATTTTCTAATATATTTATGTTTTTATTTATATAAAATTATATTTAATCGTGTCATAAAAAAAATTTCGTGTTATTCTTTTTTAAAGGTCCGGAGCAAACTAAGGATGCGATGTGGAATCGTATCGAGGTGAAATTCTTCATGGCGATGAACAAGGACGGCTCCTACCGTACCCGGGACCAACTCACTTCCAAATGCAGCCACATCAACCGTAAAGTCTGAAAGTTTATCGGAGTTTACGAGGAATGCGCCCGTTCCCAGAGGAGCGGGACGAACGACGCCGATGTACTCCAGCTTGCCACGACCCGGTATCAAGATGACGTGCACCAAGGCAAGGTGCCCATCGATCTTTGGAGAATTTTGAGCCATTCCCTGAAGTGGCAACACCTCAACAATCTCGACGGCGGATCATCAAAGAAAAGATCCTTCGTCAACGCCGAGGTTGATGTCGACGACACTATCGGTTCGTCCGAACATATGCCTCCCTTCAACGTTGCGGATTCCGATGACGAGGACCCCATTCCACGGCCGATCGGAAGAAAGAAGGTAAAATCCATTGCCTCGGGTTCGGGAGGGTCCGGCTCTGTTTCCGTTTCTTCTCGCGATGAAATCGGTCGGGCAATGGTTGAACAACTTCGGGTGTTCAATCTTCGAGAAGAAGAGAGGATGAAGATAAAGGAGAAGGAGATGAAGCGAAAGGAGCAGGAGGACGAGATCAAAATCATGGAAACCGACATTTCTACGTTATCGGTCAAATAGATGATCTACGAGCAAAGACAAAGAGAGATCAAGGTGAAATATAATTTACCTTAGTTTTTTTATTAATGTATCTTTTTTATTATTGTCGTTTTTTTAGTTTAATGAATGTAATTTTTTAAATGTTAAATTGTTGTCGTTTCAATTTCTTTAAATTTAATAAATGTATTTTTTTATTATTCGTGTTTCAATATGATTAAATAATAAATTAATTACATTTTATTAATTTAGTTTTAGAAGATGTATATTTAAAAATGTAAAAAATGAAAGTTTAAAGCCTCAGTTTAAAGCCCCGGGGCTTCAAACTCACTTCCAGTGAATCTATAAGGTAAGCTAAAGCTGACGTGGCAGAGAGAGAAATTTTGAAGTTCCGGTTTGAATCCCCGGGGCTTCAAACGTATTTTCATTGCTCTAAGCATCAAGAAATAAAATTTTAAGTTTTTTAAATTCATTTTATTCAAATATTGATATAAAAATAAAATTTTAAGTTTTTTAAAATTCATTTTATTCAAATATTGATATAAAAATAAAAAATAAAACTTACATATTTAAAAATAACGTAAAAAATTCTACGAAATAAGAAGTAACAAAAATACTTTATTTTATCATATAATCAATGCACAAATAGACAAACATTTCCGTAATTTTTTTAATGGCCAAGGCTAAGATTTGTGATCTGATGATGTGTGATCTGCTCAATTGCTCATTATTTTCTCTGATCTAGGTTCTCACAAGCTCATAGGAAGAGGAAGAAGAAGAGGATGGCAATGCATAGCCATTCTTGGGCAACTTGGAAAGCCTGCTAGCTCTCTCCCCAGTTTCCTCCGTCTTGCCCATGGAAGATGGCAATGCATAGAAGCCATTCTTAGGCAACTTTGAGAGCACAACTCTCTCCCCCGTTTCCTCCTCCGCCTTGCGGAACAACTGCTTCCTCAACTTGTCGTGCAAATGCCCGAATAGCTCTTTCTTCAGCGACTCAAATGCGAAGTCGAGCCTCTCCATCTGCTCCATTGCATTCTTGTTGTACATGAACAGCCCGTAGTACAAGTCGAAGCTGTCGCTGGCTGTGTTCTTCACCAGATCCAGCAGTGTCTCGTACCCCTTCGTGTTGATCGGGGTCGCTTCGAGCCCCAGCTTCTCCAGCACTCTCCCCATTGTGTGGGTGATGAACTGGGAGCCCGCGGCGTGCCTGTCGTGCTCTGCGCAGCTCATTTCCACCATCCTGCACCCTTCTCTCGCGAAAATGTCGAGGAATCTCTCTGCCCTTAGCGATCTGGACTCCTCTTCCCCAATTCGGACCTTGTCGAACACAAAGGGCAGCCCCCTCCAGCTGCCCTTCCCGCTCTCTGGCCCGAACATTGGGTAAGTGCAGAGGACGTCGAAATGATGGGGGAGGAATTGGAGGAAGATGTTCTTAGGGAATTCCTTCACGGAGAGGACGTCCACGAATAGGGTGCTGCGCCTCAGCCTTTGGATCGGGAGGGAGCGGAGGACTGCCTCGGCGGAGATGATGGAGGTGCAGAGGAGGATGACGTCAGGGTGCTGCTCGCAGAGGTCGTGCGGATCGGAGAAGAAGGAGGCGCCGACCGATTGGGCGGCGAGGGAGTGATCGGAGCGCGAGTGAGCCATCACCGAGTGGCCTTGCCGGACGAACGCCTTGGCCAGAAATTGACCGAAGTTGCCGAACCCTAAAACCGCGATTTTCAGCTGTCTCGAGTTCGGGGAGATGTTCGAGATCTGCAATTCGGAGTCGTTGTGTTGGGCGGCGTCGATTGCTCGGATTCGGAGGTGGCGGTCGGTGCGGCAGCGGCCGGGCCGGCCGCATGTCGACTGGTTCCTGGGAAGAGGAATGCGCAATCGACTGCAGCGAGTCTGGCATTGGTGGCCTGAAAATGGCAGTGACGAACGGCCGGCGGCGCTCGCGGCGGTCGCGCGAGGGAGAGATTGAAGTGCGGTAAAACACATGTCTGAGAGCTATGGATTTTGAACGAAGATGCTAAATAGAGGAGGGAGGGAGAGAGAGAGGGAGGAGATTCAGGAGAGTTTGTTACTGAGTTATATATATACTCGAGTGCTTGTAAATTGTACTCCGTAATATATACACGAGTTATGCTTTGGTACACCTAATTGTAGCTCGCAAATCAGCTAGTCATTTCTTGTTTAGAAGTGACAATTGGATCAATCAATATGTTCTCAATGAAATAATTTTTGAATATATGTTATTAGTGGTGGGCAAACGAGTCCAGGAACCGTGAGTCGGAACCGAACCAACCGGTTCGGTCCGAATTAGGGGCGGGTCCATTTTTTAAAAAATTATAATGGGCCGGTCCGGTCCGGGCCTTATAGGTTTTTGGACCGGTCCGATTCTCAATTTTTCAGAAGTTAGAACCCTTTGCAGCGGCTAATCTGTGAATCGGAGCACAGGCAGAGAGACGAACGAGCACAGACGGATGAGACGGAGAGACGGAGCTTCCGGGCATAGACGATGAGATCGAGCTTCTGAAGCGCTGCGTCGACCGAGCACAGAGATCGCAGAGAAGCGCTGCGCGCTAATCCCCATGTTTGTTCAGCTGTCCGGACACCACTGGTCACCTTAAATCGCCTTCTCTGGTGAATCTTGTCCCGTGGTAGGTCTTCACAGCTCATCTCCTAATTGAAATATTCACCTCTTCATTTTCAATTTTTAATTTTACACAACCACTTGCAATTAGTCTTGTTTTTTACATTAGTGCTATTGACAATTACTACTTCTTCAAATATGTTTGTAGATATGTTTGCAGAGAACCCCTTACCATATAGTAAGGATCGGCAAGTAGGAAATAACATGTGAATTGGGTAATACTTTAATTTCTTTGTTAAAGTATATAGAAAGTTACTCTCTTTGTATAGTCTTGAAAGTAATATGTATGTTTTTTTTCATGTTTTCCTTTACAGAGCACAAGAAGGACAAAGAATCAACATCGAATTCAAGTGCTCAAAAGCTTCAATCTTCGGAAATGACTAAAAAGCATAAAGGATGTGCGGTAATATTTTTAAATTCACTAACAATAGTTTATAAACTTTTAGTCTTTATACATTATTAGAGACTAATTTAATCATATAATTATATTTTTTATGCAGAGTAAAGACGAAATAATCAAGACCTAATTGCATGTGAAGGATGTAGGTTAATATTAAACTTCTTTAACCATTTGTGCATGTTTGTGTGTGGAATATGTTTGATTTTAAAACTTTGTTTTTGCAGGATTTTTGGTTTTTTTGGAAGCCATCTGTGTACTCCCCTGATTGTTCTTTTTGGAACCATATGGCATTTGCCAAAATAGGATTGTACTCTTTCCTTTTTTTGTTGGATGATCATGCCATCATGGGGGTTTGCCGTACTCAGTTCCTCTTTATCATTGTTCAGACTATTTTTTTTGTTTGATGACTTAAAAGTTAAAACTGATGGTGGTGGGTAGTCTATTGATGTGGACTAATGGTGAATAACCATGTATGTATTATTAAATTATTTGCACTTCTTTATATTTGTAATATTAGTATCATGAAAGTTTCGGACCCGTTGACCCGTGGAATCGGCCCGTTTCGAACAAGCCGGGTTAGGTCCGGTTTCAATTTTAAAATTTTAAAAACTCGTTCCGGCCCGGACCGTTTTAATAAAAACAAGCCGAGTCCGGTTTATAGAAATCTTGACCCGGACCGGCCCGTGCCCACCCCTATATGTTATAATCAAGTTAGATCGGTTTGGTTCAATTTTGGTTTTAATTTAATTTGAATCCATAGATTTTTTTGTTGCGATTCTATTTCGGGTCGATTTCGGATGTCAATCGCTTCAGAGAGAGACTCAAGACATATATAGTTGGTTTTTTTCTGGGTTTATAAGCTGGTCAATACTCCGTATAAGTAGTTTTTAACTTATAAGTCAGCTGATAACATGTTTCTTAATACTTATAAGTTGTTTATAAGTCAGAAAAAATAAGTAGACCTTAGTTACTTATTTTTTAGCAAGTTTTTCGTTTCTCCATTTTGACAAGATTATTTACAAAATTATTCCTCACTATTTATGAATATTTATAAATGATTTATCTATCATTTAAGTCATTTTGCTTTCAAAAAAGAATATTTGACTTATAAGCAACTTATAAGTTGAAAATAATTTATCATCAATAAGTCAATAAAGATCAGCACAGAGAAACACCTCATAATACTCTTGACTAATACGGAGTATATACACAACTATGATGGAGTTGGTCATGGAGTTGCTAAATGGGTAGTCATAGCCACACTCGGTAAAACAAATGCACCCCATTAACTAAATACCCCCTGCATAATAATGTTTTTATTTTAAAATTTTATTAAAAAATTATTATTTTAAAAATAACATTATAATAAAAAAATAAAAATATCCACCATTTATTTCATTTTATTATTTTTAAAATGAAAATATAATTTTAATTTCAATTATAAAACTTTGGTTTTTTTTAATTTTTCTATAATTAAATTAATTCATCATTATAAAAATAAGATGGTAAAATGCATATTGTATAATAATTAGAAAACAGCAAGATTTTTTCAAAGTTAATGGTATCTGAATGTAAATAAATGAAAGTTATATTAATTAATGAAAAGATAATATAACATTTCCCAAAGTTATATAAAAAACTACAAAAAGTAATAAAATAAAATAGATGGTTGATAGTTTTAAAAAGCTATATACTCCGTAATTTTTTCATTAAATAAACTTATATAACGTTTTTAAAATTATGCATCATGGGATGAATTTAGTTGACGGATTGTATTTAGTGTTTTAGCGGGTGTTGCTATCACTACCCTTGGTAAATTGGTCAGTTTTGGATTCGATCTTTTCGATTTTGGGTTACTTCGGGTTTTAATTAATTTGAATTTGGATAAGAATTTCATGTCATGACTCAGTATTATCAGGTTCGAATCGGTTCAACAGATTATAGTTTTTATTTTTAAATTTTTAAATTTATATTAACACTTGTAATTTGCATTGAATAAAATTAAAATATCAAATATATATATATATATATATATATATATATATATATATATATATAAAGTCTATTAGATTATTTTATTTTAAATTTCTAAGTAAATTTTAGACAAATAAATTGATATTACAAATAAAAATGCATAAGTTCAGGAAAAAACTAAAATAACTATGCAATATCATTAAATTTTTTCTTGAATATATAAAATTATACACTAAAAATGAATAGTAAGAAAAATATAATTATAACCCTTTTTTATAACATTATATTTCATAGTAGAGTATATGATTTTGAAAAACTCTTACATTAGCAAGTCAATGAGGTCGGGTTTGACCCATTTTTAGCGGATCATTTGGGGTTCGTCAACTTCGAATTCACTCAACAAAATCTTTATTCAAAATCCAGTAATTTCAAGTTGTGTCTCGGGTTAAAAACAGATCAGATCCTTTTTTAACAAGTCATTTTGGGGAAAAAGACTAAAGCAGGAGTTAAATATATAGGACTTCCATGTTTTTATCCCGAAATAAAAGTTAAAATGTATTTACATTACCAAACATGGTCATGTACATTACCAAAAGTGTAAAACCAATTCTAAACACTTGGTTCGATTTGATTTTATACTGCCTCCTATTTAATGACTTTTTGGAATCAATGAGATGAAGTTTAGACCTCAATTATATTAAAATAATTATTTAAGTTACAAATGACTTCATTAAATGAGTATTTGTTATATTCGAATTAACATACAATTTTTCGTTTATTTTTTGTCATATCACATTTATCAATCTTTAATTAATATAATTTATCACCATATATTATTTTATAGTTTTTCTAAATATATACCCTCACCCTAAATATCTTCCATTTTTATCTTTTTAGTCATATTTTATAAATTTGGATTACAAATTATGAAAGAAAAGTATATTTACTTCTAATATAAAATTAATATAATTGGATTATCAGATTACATACAATTTGGTTAAAATATGTTGAAATTAAATGCAATCAGATAAATTTTGAGTGAATTTAAATACAATTCAATGCACAAGTTTGGCTAACCATACAATATTGAATGAGAGAGGGGGTGAAAACATATCTTTTTAACCATGCTCTAGCTAATTTGTATAAATTTTAACTAAATTTTTTATTTAAGTTGTATTTGTTAGAATATAAATAAATGTTCCTGGGCCACAACCACAAGCTTGAGCTTTTGGTTGAGTTGGTTTCTTGACATGGTATCGGAGTCTTGTTGACTAAGAGTTCACAGGTTCGAAACTCAGCGCCACCCAGTTTAAAAAAAATTAAGGTTTTACGTGCAAGGCTCGAAAAAGACTACACCTGCACGTGAGGAGGCGTGTTAGAATATAAATAAATGTTCCTGGGCCACAACCACAAGCTTGATCTTTTGGTTGAGTTGGTTTTTTGACAGTATTATTCGTTTTTATACCAATTTATAAATAAAATAAATTTAAAACATATGAAATTTTACATTTTGTTTATATATGGTAATTCATTTTGGAACATAAGAAGCAAGTAATATAAGATATAACCAATTCAAATGGTAAAATAAAAAAATGTTGAAATGACATGAATGTAATTGTTCACTAACATACATATATATAATATGTTTATTGTCAGGTAGAATCAATTTTGGATATAATCGTCTTCGAATCTTATGAGTTTCAGGTCTTATCGATTTTAGATCTTATTAGTTTTGCATTTTACCAGTTTCAGATCTAATCGATTTCGAATATAACCGGTTTTGGATTTAAATCGGGTATGGATATAACTAATTTGCTTTTGGTTCAGTTCGAATCACTTCAGTTATTTGGTTATAAATTAGATCTTCACTTTTTGGATCATTTCAGTTTCGATTTTAGAGCATTCGATTTGGACAATCAATTCTGATTCTATTTTGCCAGGTCTAGTCGTGTTCAATTTCAATCACTTCAAATTCAAGTTACTTTAGGTTTGAATCAATTTGGATTCGTGTTAAGGATTTTGTGTTCATGACCTAGTGTCAACAAGTTTGGGTCGAGTCAACGGATTATAACCTTAATATTTTAAATTTTAAAATTTATACGGAGTATTAAAACTTGCTTTTTGCATTGAATACAAAAAAAAATAAAAACTATGTATTAAATCTATTAGGTTATTTTATTTCAAATTTCTAAGTAATTTTTAGACATATAAATCAATATTACAAAAAAAGGAATAAGTTTTGGAAAAATTAAGATAATTATGAAATACTAATAAAATTTTATCTGAATTTATAAATTTACATACACTTAAAACGAGTAGTAAGAAAAAAATATAATCATAACCTTATTTATATAACATTATATATCATAGTAAGGTACATGATTTTAAAAACTCTTAGTTTAGTGGGTCGATCAGGTTAGATTTGACCATTTTTAACAAGTCATTTCAAGTTCGGTCAACAAAATTTTTATTCAAAACACACTATTTTCTGGATCATGTGTCAGGTAAAAAACATCTGATAACTTTTGTCATGTAATTTTACCACAACTTATACATCACCATTTCCTTACCACACCAATCATTTTTTGATAAAAAAAAGTCGGGATAAGCCAAGTTTGTATCTCAACTTGCACACCAATTATATCACAGACATAT